TGGGCCCCCGGTCCCCCCCCCGGGGGCCCCTTGGCCTCTGGATGCCCCCTGCTTAGCATGGTGGATCACAGTGGGGATCTTGCTACTCTCAGTCTGGCTTCTGCTCCGCACGGGATTGACAGATAATAATTTTAATACCATTTTACCCATTAGTAGTATTTTATTTTTTATTGTTTTATTTAATTAATTTGGGCTAAAAGGTCCCCGTGAATGCTGGTTACAGATCAGCGCACCCCCCATGCTGTTGATCTGGTGGCTCACCCCTAAGTCTGGCTCCAGAGCTTGAGCTTCAGTCCTTCCAATCTCATCCCATCTGCCGTCATGGCTGTACATTGCACCGGGTCCGTACAAGTCCTCCGGCGGGGGGTAAGCATAGTGCGTGGTGGGTCTTTGGAAGACATGGGGCTCATCCTCCTGCTGGACGGGGCTGTGGTGAACAAATGACGTACTAACGGCACCTAGAAGAGTGACAACGAAATATTAATCATCATTCGGCCTTAAAATCTGATGATCTCAGCCAATCGGTGACAAGAGAACAAACAGGAGAGAGAACCATCAGGCAAAGAGATTGTTCAGTGGTAACAGAAAGAATGAATGAGAGAGGCGCAGTGACCGTCCAGGTGAGGGAAAGCATATTATTAGGGAGATAAAGTGTATCTAAACCTACAAAATGTAATCTAGTGCAGCCTACCTTCCTAGTGGCGGCATTTTTGGTCTTTATTTTCACATGGTGATCCTGCCAGTAACACACTTCCTGTCCTAGGGGGACAACACTTGGATGTGCATTGTCACCCCAGGCTGCTCTCCTATATGGACAGCGAATACCTCCTCCTCTCCTTATCTCCATTACATAGGAAACCGTCCTCTGAAGTTCACAGATGTTAACTGGGGAAGCTCATAACATTGTTTCAGATTTCAGTTCAGTCTGCAGGAAGTTACAAGGGCACCGGATATCTGGCAGGATCAACGGGTATTTTCCTGCACTTGCAGGAAGAGAGAGAGAGGGAGGGAAGAGAGAGGGAGGGGAGAGAGAGAGGGAGGGGAGAGAGAGAGAGGGAGGGGCAAGAGAGAGAGGGAGGAAGAGAGAGAGAGAGGAGAGAGAGAGAAGGGTTGAGAGAGAGCGAGAGAGAGGAGAGAGAGAAGGAGAGAGAAAGAGAGAGAGGAGAAAAAGAGGGGGGAGCGAGAGAGAGGGGAAGAGAGATATCAGAAGGGATGTGTGGTATATAATGATGACCCATCTGTAGGTAATTGGGTACTCACCTGATTCCTGACTGTACTCAACCAGGGGAGCGGAGATCTTAAAGAAAAGACAATTCATGGATCAGATCAATAATCTTCATGATTGACTTTTACTTTTGAAATTCAGATTGCAGCTTTGAGCTCCGCAGACAATGAGCAGCTGCACAAAACAACGTCACCCTCCTTGCCCCTTTACTGATAGTTTTGTTTGTGTATCTGCGAGTTTCATATACTTTTTATGGCCAGGTTCTATATAAATACTGTAAAAGGTAAAGGACGGCAATTATCACCGCCCAGGAAAAAATAATAATAAAATGGCACTCCGGGGTCAGGGGTGAAGCCAGATGGACCTTCCCACTCCAGGCTTAGCCTACAAGACCTCCATTATATGAACCCGGAAAAGCAAAGCCAAAGAACCATGAGATGTTGGTTAGTCGAGATGAGTGAACTTCTGAAAAGTTCAATCAGCTGTGGTTTGGGTGACCTTTTTGAAAAAAAATTGCAAACCCTCAAATTTCAAAAATTCTCAACCGAAAGTCCCATTTAAACCAATAAGAATCCACACCAGGGTCCAAAAAGTGTGTACTAAAGAGCAGCAAATGATGCAAAATGGTCGTGTAGAATTTAGGAAGCTCCTGATAGCCATACAAGAGGATGAGGGCAAAGAAAAACAGACTGAGCCATGTCCTCTACTGAGACAGAATGGGGGGACCTGGTAGGACTGGCAGTCAAGCTAGAGGTGCCCAGAAAAAAGCAGAAGCAGATATAAGGTGGCCTTTGGCGCAATCTTTGATCTCTTCCTCCCAGAAGCCTTTTGGGAATCAAAAAGTGCCAAAAATAACACTGAAATCCAAATTTGGTTTGGGACATTTACATTCCCTGAAATCTGTCCAAATGTAATACCAACCAAATTTTGGGATCAACTCTATTGGTTATTAAACGCTCTGATTGGCTCGGTTTGCGATGGGCATGGCTGCCGTTTTCTCTTCTTTCAGAGTTCATAGGAGTCCATTTGGTTCCCCTCCCTACCCTTCACTTACTGCCCTTTCAGGGTCTCAGAGTTCATAGAAGTCCATTGGCTCCCCTCCCTACCCTTCACCAACTGCCCTTTCAGAGTCTCAGAGTTCATAGAAGTCCATTGGCTCCCCTCCCTACCCTTCACTTACTGCCCTTTCAGGGTTTCAGAATTCATAGAAGTCCACTGGCTCCCCTGCCTACCCTTCACTTACTGCCCTTTCAGGGTTTCAGAGTTCATAGAAGTCCACTGGCTCCCCTGCCTACCCTTCACTTACTGCCCTTTCAGGGTTTCAGAGTTCATAGAAGTCCGTTGGCTCCCCTCCCTACCCTTCACTTACTGCCCTTTCAGGGTCTCAGAGTTCATAGAAGTCCATTGGCTCCCCTCCCTACCCTTCACTTACTGCCCTTTCAGGGTTTCAGAGTTCATAGAAGTCCACTGGCTCCCCTGCCTACCCTTCACTTACTGCCCTTTCAGGGTTTCAGAGTTCATAGAAGTCCATTGGCTCCCCTGCCTACCCTTCACTTACTGCTCTTTCAGGGTTTCAGAATTCATAGAAGTCCATTGGCTCCCCTGCCTACCCTTCACCAACTGCCCTTTCAGGGTTTCAGAGTTCATAGAAGTCCACTGGCTCCCCTGCCTACCCTTCACTTACTGCCCTTTCAGGGTTTCAGAGTTCATAGAAGTCCATTGGCTCCCCTCCCTACCCTTCACTTACTGCCCTTTCAGGGTCTCAGAGTTCATAGAAGTCCATTGGCTCCCCTCCCTACCCTTCACTTACTGCCCTTTCAGGGTGTCAGAGTTCACAGAAGTCCATTGTTACCCCTCCCTACCCTTAACTTTGTGAATTTAAGACTTACTTGGTTTGTGTTGTGCTGTTGGCGCTTCTGTTCAAGCAGCTTCTTCACCGTCTGCGAAGGGGAAGGTGAACAGAAT